GTATGGGTCCGGGAGATGCAGGGCTAGAGTACCCACCGACAAGGGCACTAAACTAAAAGATGAGGATCCCTATGTGATATTATTCCTCCTAGTTTGATATTCGCGATAAGTTTGCGCCAACATCATTGAGCCAGCTCTCAGATTCTGCTCCAGGAACTATACTGTGCATAGTTGGGAAAGATGTTGATCATCGTCGGCGCGTGGCCCTAGAAGTTGCGGTGACATGCGCCACTCATCAAGCTGTGTGCGCGCCAACTGGAAACGGTACACCAGATGGCGTGCATGAATTAGCAAATGTGTTCCATTCCAGTGGTAGGACCTAATGTCATTGTTAAGTAATTCTGCCATTGACGCGGTGTTCAACTTTCTATTTTTGAGGGAGGGCCCTATACACCTGGTCTAGCAGGAGGGCAGCTGTCAAGGAAAGGGAAAGACTTTGCCAACCAAAGAGGATTACAAGGCTCATACACAATGCAAATTTATCTCAAAATGCTGTCCTCCACAACTTGAGTTTGAGATTGTATGGGCGTGTTGCCGCTTCACGAAAGCGACCTCAATTCTAATGTCTATGAATGATGTGGGCCGCGATAGAGTACCAGATGTTTTACAGGGCGGCCATGGGCGGTTGCTCAGAGAGCGAGCTGCGCCAACAGCTCCGCTGGGCAATAATCCCGGCTATGACCAATCTTTAATCAGCAACGGCAGCCTCAGCTCAAGCAGTGACAGTGATGAGTTTGACGAGTTCAACGCAGAGCCCCGGGAAGGGGCTCGCGGTCGTGGGCGCGGTCGCGGTCGCGGTCGCGGCCGGGGGCGAGGCCGTGAACGAGGAGGTGGTCGCCGACCCAGCACAGGACCGCGGAGCAGCATTCCGCCGGCGATCACATGCGAAGAGGAGTCGGATAGCGTGGACGTTGACCGGATAGGCCCTATCGGCTGGGACGACGACATCGCTCCGTCGCCACAGGGACAAATCAACTTGGACTCACCTGTTACGGTCACCATCGAGCATGCCGGAAATGGTCCTAGTCTTCAGGTCTCCGGTGTTGCGTTCGGGGACATCGTCGCCGCTTACAACATTTTGCGGTCTTTCTCCTGGCAGCTGAAGCTCAGTCCATTCTCGCTCTCGGTGAGACCCTTGCTATTTGCCGAAAAGGCCAACGATGCAGCAGCACATGATGCTGGAAACATCAGCCCTCCCCCCGAGGGGGGTCATTCCTGGGGGGGTGTCGCGACCCGACCCTGGAACAATCCAACCCGCGCGCTAGCATCGCATGGGCCAAGCTCACCACCTTAGCTCGCCCTTCTCCTCCTCGGGGCTTCGGTGGCTGGGGTGCTTTGGACATCGGCAGCTAATCCTTCCCATCCTACCTCACCCCTTTCCCTCCCACCCGTTCCGCATCACCGTCCTGTAGCCGTCATGCACTTCCGCCTTTGCCCTTCTCCGTTCCCCTTCCCTTCCCTCCCTCCCTCCCCTCTTCCAGCACTGCGACTGCCACCGCGCGCCCTCTTAACCCCACCTCACTCCATGCCGCCATGCCTGCGGGCTGCAACCCGCCATCCACCCCTTCCCCCGGCAGGACATCTGCATTGCCATGTGCTCCGGGAAGCCCGGGCGGCTGCTGGACGAGCTGCATGTGTGTGTACTGCGCACGTTGGCCAGCCACGAGACCTCGGCTGCTCGGCGCCGCCGTCGTCTGGACCTGGAGCACTTGGATCAGGTGCGGACAGCACCACCGAGTCGAACAACAGCGCCCAGGGGGGAAGCGGCACCCGGGGGGCCCTGGCGGGTCGGGTTGGGGGGTTGCAGACCAAGGGGTATCCAATACGAGCCAGCCTTACCCAAAACATGGGTTGAGGAGGAAACACCGCCACCGCGCGGACATGGATGAATATGGTGGGGGGTTGCAGGGAGAGTCGAAGTCATGGCTCAGGCTGTGGCCGTCAGCCCCCCCCCCACAACCCCGTCGCCTTATTGTCGCCCTTGCGACTTCCGCACCCACAGGCCATGTTCCCGGCCTATTCCCTTTGGGTTGCGGGGCTGGGAAGTTGGCTGGAGATACAAACGTAGCTGGCGTGTGGCGTTGTGTGCGTGTATTGCGCTCTCCTCAACGGCGCCAAAGGCCGCCCTGCGCCCCCCTCCCCTCGACCTCCGTTGTAGGTGACTTGGCCGGAGTTCGTGTGGGAGTGGCTGGAGCTGGCTGGCGAGAAGGTGCTCACAAAGCACAGGTAGGTGCATGGGAAGGCCTGGAGAAAGGACGGTTTTCGGAGGGGAAGGTGGAGGAGGAGTGAGAGGAGGAGGACGCCCTTAGCGACCTAGAGTGGTGGGCCGTGATTACCTCGGTGGAGGGGATCCAGACGACGGGTTGGGTGTGGACCCCAGCCCGGTGTCGTGCTGTTCTTCATTGCTGGCGCCATGTTACTGCGCCCACCCCGCCCGTGTTTAATGGGCTGTTTGGATGCGTCGAGCCCTGTAGGTTGTTACGGCTTCTGCAGGTGCGATATACGAAACGCGCATCAGCGAGCACGAGCCCCTTTCTGAGCGGAGTCATGAAGACGGCGTGCGCGTGCAGGCCCTCGTTTGATTGTTCGGTGATTGGGTGGTTGGTGTTTTGGCGTGTGCAGGGCGCAAGTCCTGGCTCCCGCGCGGCCCGCGGCAACGGGAGGCCTTGTCAAGCAGGAGCAGCAGGCGGCGGTCTCCCTACAGAGGGCTGACGGCGACGGCGGAGCCGCTGGAGGACCGAGTGGCAGCGGCAGCGGCCAGGGCGGCGGGGCCCTGTCGGTGAAGCTGGAGCAGGAGTCAAGTCCACGTGCACTGGCCCCACCGCCGGGGCCATGCGCGTCTGGACAGGACCCCGGCGACTCCAACTACGTTATTGAGTGGGAGACGGCGGGGGGCAGGGGCGGCCGGCGGCCTGCTGGGACCAGTTACGTGAGTGCCGTGAGCTGCGTCCTGGTGGGGGGTCGACCCGCGAAGAATAGGAAGGAGGGAAGTGAGAGGAAATGGGGGGGGAGGGGGGGAAAAGAGAGGGCAGGAGAGTTAAGGCTAGACGATGGAGTCGTGGGTGGGTGGCGGGCTGGCGGGCGGGGGGCCCAGGAAAAAGCCGTCAGGGAGATGGGATAGAAGGAAGGTCTTGGGTCTTAGGGTTTTGTGGACAAGAAAGACCTGGGATCTCTGAGCAGTGAGGTGGGAGGTATAGGCTCCATGCAATGAAGAACAGCACCGCTCACAATTCCGTTGCCTCTTCCCGTTCCTTCCGCTGGACTTCCGACAGCCTCATCCGCTTCTCCTCAGCGGTATCCATCGTGAAGTATATATAACCTCCCCCCTCCCAATTGCCCGAAGAAGAAGGAGTATTAGTATGGACGGGGGTGTCCTCATACTGCGCGATTTCACTCAGCGGGCCCTGTCCACCTCAACCACTCCCACTCCACTCCCACCCCGCAGAAGGCCCACCTGCTCGCTCAGTCGCTGCGGCGGCGTCGTCCCCGGCGTCAAGTGCTCCGCTCCGACTTCCACAACATGCCGCCCGACTGCAACGCGGCGGTGCTGGCCCGGCTGTGCGACGACCTGCTGGATGTCCCCGGCATCCGGGCGGAGATCAATAAGTGGGTGTCCTAGTGTTTCCTGGGAAGGGTTGCGGTGGGGGGGGGACGCCAATGGCCAATTGGCAAAAAAAACCCAAGTGCCGGCGTCGGCCTCACCGGGGGGCTGTCCCCGGGATGAGGGGATCCTCCGATGTTGAAAAGAAATCGGTATTATAATCCTCCTGCACCTTCCTGCACCCTCGTGGTATTATAATCATAGATATAATACCGGGGGGTAGGAGGGGGATGGCCCCCTTGGTGGGGGCTGTGTGCGCGGAAACGTGTGTTGTACGGCATTCGGGGTTTCTTTTAGCCATTGAAGGCTGGTTGGTTTCGGAGCGCTGGCCTGTTTTGTTGCTGCGCTGTAGGGAGCTGTAGCCTACTTGTGCGTACTTGGCGGCGGTGTAGGGCTCTAGGAAGGAGGAGGAGGAGGGCCGCCTTGACAAAGCCGGGCTCTATAGCTGTACATCTAATCTTATGGGCCCCCCCCCCGGCTTCTCCTTCCCTTCCGAGAGTTCCCCTGCGGCGGCGGCGGCGGCTGTTGGAACCGCCGCAGCATCCGGGTCCTGTTGTTCCTGAACCCTCCCTCCGCTCCCAGTGTCGCCTCCTCGCACCGTGCGGCGGTCGGGGACTTTCCTTTCCTTCCTGAACACCCCATACCCCTGGTTATTACCTTGGAGCCCCTCTTTCACCTCCTCGCCCCTCCTCTCCCCCCCTCGGTTTGTGTGTATGTATGTGTGTCCTCTCTCTCCGCCACCACCACCCCCAGGCGTGAAGCTGCCGGGCAGATGCACTCGGGCCTGGGTGGGGAGGGAGGTGCCTGGCCGCAGTTCACGGATGCCGACAGAAGAGCCAGGGAGCGGAGGCTGCAGGTACGGGTGCGTGTTGGGGGGGAACCCCGTGCGCCCCTCGGCCTACCCTCCACCCCCACCCCCCACCATCAGAGTATCCGTCTATATCCGGTATCTGCTTCACTCGTCCGTTGTTCGCCTCAGCCCTTTCCCCCCACCAGTCCCCCCCCCACACACCATTTTGCAGTTTTGGACGTCGTGGGGCAGTTACTTGCGGGAACTACCTGCATACCTCCCCCTCTCTTCAACCCTCGGAGAAGGGCTCGGGCAGTCGGTGGTTTGCACGTCGACAACCAATCTATTAATATCCTTGCTGCATACATTTCCCCAACTCCCCAAACTCCCCGAAGAGTGCTTGGAGCTGCTTCCGAAGGGCCTCCGGCACAGCCACCGGCCGGAGTGCTCTGAGGAAAAGGAAAACCGCCGCATTGGATGGCTGCGGGAACGGGAAGGGGATACGACTGCTATATATACTTGACAACAAAGGCCGCGGCTGCTGCTGATGCCGATCTGCCCCTGTTCCCCACATCCAGCCCGCCTGACTGGACTGGCTGTCCGGACCTGATGATCCTCCCCCCCGCGCAGACGAACGCGTTTGACGACGGCAACACTGAGAACTGCGTGCTGTGCGGTGTGGGCGGCAGCCTCATCTGCTGCGACCGCTGCCCCGCGGCCTACCACCTGCGCTGCATCGGCCAGACGGCGCACAGCATACCGGACGGAGATTGGCTGTGCCCCGAGTGCGCAGTCGGCGGAAGGGGTAAGAGCCGGAAAGGGGGAATGCACGCGCGCAGATGTATGTGCGTGTGGGTGTTTGTGCTCTCATTATGTGCGCCCATGTCTCTGTCCGTGTCTGTCTGTCTGTCTGTCTGAGTACAAGCGGCGTGTTGAGGGGCATGGCTGGTGAGCGGCTGGCGATCTCCGCCTGTCTTCCCGCTTCGCTGCTTTCCTTCGCCAGGGTCCGGACCGGGCGCCCCACCTCGCCTCCTTGCATACCCCTCCCACCGGCCTCACTTAGCGACCGCTCATCGACCTCTAATCATCCATCCTCTCCCAGCTCTTTATGTACATGCAATTCGCGTATGTGTATATTTTGCCATAGCTGTTCTTCAAAGCACCGCACACACATATCGTGTACAAATATGCGTTCAAGAGGCGCTCCGCCAGCATGTTGAGAGGCCTTTTCAGCGGGAGGCCAGCTACTACAGTATCGATGTGGTTCATGTGTCCCCCGTCCCGCTCCCCCTCATTGGCAGGGGAGTCAGCCGGGCTGCGTGTGCCCATCACGGGCCTCAGCCTCCTGACGGGCAACCCCACCTGGGTGGCGTACGGGTACGCCTTCCCAGCGCAGTGCCTGCCCGCGCCACGAGGCGGGGGAAGTAGCGGCACCAGCAGCAGCCTCAATCCCTTCGCGGCGCTACTGCCCCCGGATGCGGAGTTCCACGGCTTCCGGTTGCTGGTGGGGGACGAGGCCCAGCGGGACGTGGCGGGGCTCCGCAGGTGGGTGGTGTGTGGTGGCGGGATGTGGTGGCGGTAGGTAGCGATACAGATAGACCTAGGACAGGGTAGGACTGAGTGGAGTGGAGTGGAGCACGGCTAGAAATAGAGGTCACCTTCCGGGTCTGTCTGCTTCGCGCAGTGTCGAGTGTATGATCGTCCCAGGGCCATACCGGCCATACTCGGTAGCATGGGGGAGGGCATGTGGGGGTTTTCTCACCTCGCCGCTACTTCCTAAGGCGCCCTTTTCACTGTCCCCCCACCCCGGCGGAAGGGTCGCGAGTGCGGGAGGGAGGGCCTCGGGACTAGCTAAGCTAGGCTAAGCTGTTCTCTGGTCCTTTCTCCTCCTCCTCCTCCTCCTCATCTCCTCATCAGCTTTCTCCCTCCTAACCCTAGGGCGTCGACTTGCTGCTGCGGAAACAAGTGCTCACTTTTGCATCTCACATAAATGTCCTCTACTTCTCTCTTAACTCCTCCATACACCCCTCCTTGTCCTTGTCCTCGTTCTTTTCCTTCGCAGGCCTCGCCGCTGGCCTGAGGACGTGCCCCACCCCTCCTCCACCGTCGACCTCCTGACCGGGCCGAAGTCGGGGTGCAAGTCCGGACCCGCGGACCCCACTTCCTACGAGAACAGGTGCGTGGTGAGGGGTCTTACCTTATTGAAACACCCTAGGGGGCCGCTCTGTAACTGTCATACTGTATGTTGCTCTGTCCCGAACCCAAGTGGGTTTCCCTCTCAGCTTTTTATAGCGAAAATGATAATGGTGTTGTTGATGATGATGTTGATGATGATGATCCTCCCAAATCCGTAGAAGCCTAGCGGCTCGGCAGTTCGATGTTGGCGCAGAGGGCTGCTGCCGTGAGGCATGTGGCATGTGTCGGCCTGCCTGCCGAAAATAAGATTAGGTGTTTGGGGATGGAGGGTATATTTGTTGCCGTACTGACCAGTACTTTACTTTCCAGTGGTCGTACCGCGGACCTTTGTTATTTTCCAGGGTCCTGTTTCCGATTTGCTTTGTCTGTCTGTCTATCTGTCTGTCTATCTGTCCGCTACTGCATTCCCGGTGATGCAGGTATCGCTCCGCCTGGCAGACGTACGTGCAAGCCATGAAGGTACGTGATAACGGTACGGCTGTACTACGGTAATGGGGTGACTCACCCGCGGTGTGCGTCACCTGTACTGTACCCCCATCTTCTCCTTTCTCCTCCCTCCCTCCTTTCCCGCGCCCTCCTGCACCCACAAAACAATTCGAGTCATCCGCGAGCACCTTGTTCTGGTCGGTCAACGTTAAACAAATTTTGATGTGTAACTGGTTGCTTAGGTTTTTGTTGGTGAATTGTTTCCCTCGCTCTCCACAGCTGCCCTGCCCTGCCCCACCACCTCCTCCCCTCACCCCTTCCCTCCTCCTCCCGCCCTTGCCGTCTCAGGCCGCGCATGAGGTGGAGTACAAGAAGTCCAAGAGGGCGGGCGCCACTCCCGCCTCGGCCCTGGCGGTGCCGCTGCCGCTACCCACATTCTCCTGGCCCACATTTCAGGTGGGGTGTTCAGGGCGGGGGGAAAGCGGGGATTGCTCGAGGACGCGGGAAACCTGCTGTGCGCATCCATCCATCCACCCATCCATCCATCCTTTTATACGTCCATCCACTCCCCGGCTGGTCGTATATCGTGAAAGGAGGTGTGCTCCTTCGGCGACCTGGCGCCGCGTGGCGGTTGCTTCATATGCTCTTGTGATGCTCACAGGCCTTTACGCGGCGACACGTGCTTCACGCCTTAAGAGGCCCGGAGCGGTCCGCTAAGACCGCCTCCACCGCACCGCACCGCCATACGCAGCCTTGCGGTTTTAACCTTTTAATCGTCACTGCCTTTTTGCTTCGGCTCGTTCCTCCTTGTGCAGGGTCGTGGCGTGGTTTCGGTGCCGTGTGGTTTGTGCCGCAGCTGCACCACCTCCCTCAAGCCCGGTCGGCCGTGTCTCAAGCCGCTGCTGGTGGACGAGGGCGCCAGTACGGCGGCGGAGCTGCCGCAGACAGGTCGATTGGCGGTGCTGCAGGTGGGTGAGGGGGTGTGCGGAGCGCGTCAGTGCCCCCCTGTGCGGCCGGAAGCAGGGGAGGTGGAGCCGAGAGGCAGGGCAGCTGCCCGACAGGAGAGAGCGTAGCGGAGATGCGCTGGGGTTGGAACGGCGGGGGGGGGGAGAAGAAGAGAGACCTGGGGGCGGGGCCCTTGGCGTTCATGTTTGTCTGGGTTCCATTTCGTAACCTGTAAACCTAGGGGGCCCTACGAACCCGCTCACCCCTCCACACACACACACACACACACACACACAGGAGCTACCCACCTCAAGGTAATTGTTTCCATCTAAAGGTTGTTTATATTCTAATCTGAACCTCTCAGCAAAGTGTGCTTTGGGGGGTCGGTCGGCATTTGTTTCCTTGACTTTTGCTGGTACTACCACTCACACGGTTATTCTCCATCCAACGTCGAGTCCGACCCCGACCACCTGCCCTGCTGCTGCAGCACTACTTGCTTCGCACGGAGCAGGAGCTGTGGGGGTTGCTTGACGGCGGTTGGGCGGGAGGCGGCGGTCGGGGGCTGGAGTACCGGCGGCAGTGGATGCGGGCCGTCTCTTCGGCGGGGACACCCGAGCAGCTGGCGCCGAGGTTCTTGGAGCTGGAGGCGGCCCTGAGGAGGTGATGCGGCCGGGCGGGCGGATTTAGGGGCTTGGAGACTGAGGGAAGTAGGGACGTAGAGGCTTAGAGACTGAGGGAAGTAGGGGCGTAGAGGCTTAGAGACTGAGGGAAGTAGGGGCGTAGAGGCTTAGAGACTGAGGGAAGTAGGGACGTAGAGGCTTAGAGACTGAGGGGTTTAGAGACTGAGGGGTTTAGAGACTGAGGGGGAAATTGCCTTTGACCAGCCAGCTGTGGATGTGGGTGTTTGGTCGCAGGAGTACTGTCGCGCGTTCGTTAGGTACAGCGGGGAGTCAGCTCTCCCCCCGTCTTGGCCGACGTCCCACGGGCTTTTCGCTTTCAGTACCTTGAGTACTTTCCTTTCCCGCACGTCCCTCTCTTCCCCCCTCCTGTCATGGCGGCCGCCCATGTGCTGTCTGTCTGTCTGTCTGTAACATGCGAAAGCGTTATATGCGGCGGGGATGCAATTCCTGCCACGAGGGGAGGGGGCCCTCCGTTGGCATTTGGGGAAATTTTTACCTCGCGATCGTAACGCCGGTTGCGCTGGCGGTTGGCGGTTGGCGGCTGTCCTGCAGGTCGCTTCCCATCTTCACGTTGCAGTGGGACCCGTACCGTCGGGACCCGGCAGAGCTGGCGGTGCTGGAGAACATGGCGGCGGACCGGCGGCGTGACGCCGACTCGTACCGCCGCCGCCGCATCACCAGCATGCTGCCGCCGCCCAAGAAGGGCCCCGGTAGGCCGCCGCGGAAGAAGATCTCCCCGCACCTGCAAGCGTGGAATGAGCTGCGGTCGGCGCAGGCGGCGGCGGCCCGCGCCTCCGCTGCCTCGGCTGCCGCCACCGCGATGCCGGACGACGGCGGCACTGAGGGCGGCAACAGCGAGATGATGGGGGATGAGGGCGGCGAGTCGGAGGCGGTCGGCCGGCAGCGCGATGGCGACGGCGCGGAAGGTACGAACACGACCTGACCGAACACGACGTTCTTTTTCCCTGGATTTCATTTTCGGGGTTAAATACCCCGGTCTGAACGGTTAGAGGGATTGTTGCCGTTGCGGACCCCCCTTTGAGGGGTTGCGGCTGTATCCTCAGGGTCCTGATCCATCAAAAGTGGAGGGGAGGGGACCGGAACGTCAAGTAAAGAACAACACCAAGGGCTGGGACACCTTTCTTTTCTATTATTGTTGTTGTTATTATTATTAAATTAAATTATTATTATTATTATTTAAAGTATTGCTTCGGTATTCTTAAGCTACTTTTTCCGTTTTGATCGTGCTGGGTTTTCCGGGCCCTGCCTTCACTCCTAGGACTTCCTAACCTTCCTCCCTCCACCTCTCCTCAGGCGGAGATGACGACGGGCTGACGGAGGCGGGCGACCTCCCCAGCCAATCGGGACAGAGGGGGGGCACCCCCCTGGATGACTCCCAACAACAACAACAACAACCTCAGATGCAGACTCAGCAGCGGAGGCCGCCGCGGCGCTCCGGAACCGCCTCCGAGCAGCAAACACCCCAGCAGCACCTGCAGCAGCAGCAGCAGTTCGGGGGCCAGGACAGCGACAACGAGGGAATGGAGGGCGGGGAGGGCTCGGTCATGGTGGGAGGTAGTGGGGGAGGAGGAGGAAGAAGAGGGGGAGATGCGGGTTCAGTGCAGCGGTTGTCGCGGCGGCGGCAGCGTGGCGGGTCGGGGGAGGGTGCTG